CCCATGTCCCCTGCATCGGCAGGTGGACTCTCAACCACTGCGCCACCAGGGAAGCCCGGAAATCTTCATTTTTGATGGAGCTTTGTGATTCCTTACTCATGTGGCACAGTGCCTGGCACTCAGGCACTCCAGAAATGCTTGTTAAAGTGAACTGAAAGCTTCAAGCCTCTCCAAAATATACTTCACATGTCAATCAAATAGAGTTTTATTGAATTAGTCCTTATGCCCAGCACAATGAGGGAATTCAGCATATGTGTTTTAGCTTTTAGTAAGTCTTTTTAGTTTACTCATTTTGGACTGAAGCTTCTGTGATGATATAATCTGGATTAATGTGGTCAAGTAAATTATGAGCATTTGCGACTTGAATCATAGTTTACATGAGTAAATTTAGTAAGCAGTCACAATTCTATATGTTATGTAAAAATTCATGAGTCAGTCTTGTCCAACTTTTTGTGATATTTACGAGTCTTCTGGAAAATCTGAAAATAAATTTGATTATGTATGTCTGTACTAAATCCCTAAATTACGGAGATTGTTGGATGTATATATAAGGGATATGTATGTGTGTGTATATTATGTAAGCATCTGAGAATGAATCTTTTCAAAAATACTCATTTCTTAGAAGTTTTGCCCATAGCGGTTTATCTTTCTAATTTTTAAATAAACCCACAAAAACTCCAATTTCTGACAATTTTTTCTTTCTAGGAGTTTGCACCTCCAGGCCCATCCATGCTTCCAGAGCTCCTGACTACCCCACGGAGGGAACACACAGAGTAGAATTCAATGTTACCCACACCCAAGACCTGGACAAAGTCATTTCTGCAGTGAAAGGAATTGCAGGTGTATCTGTCACTTCTTTTTCTGCTAGGTACAATATCTTTTCCTCTTTTTGTGTATATTAATTTGTAAGAATCTTTCTTACAGATTTTATAACTCTGTTATTTAAGTTTGCAGCAAATCACTTTCCTAGGGTGGGTTTACAAAGCAGCATACTTCTCATTTTCCTGCAGGTATCTAAGGAGAACCATGGGATCTTTTCAAAGCAATAAAAATGATAAGTAACACTTACTGACTATTTTCTATGTGGGAGACACTATATCACACATCCTACAGTATTTCTAATCCTCCTGGCAATGTTGAAAGTTATTTTTACCTTAGGGTATGCAGATATACCCTAGTTATATGCTGATAACATAGGTGTACTTTTATCAGTTCCCAGCAAATGATGATTCCCAAACACTTGAAGAGAAAAATACATTAAAGTGCCTTTTGGAAGCTCAATCATTTATTTAATTAGGGCTGAGATACCAAAATGTTATTTCAGGGACATCCCTGGTGGCGCAGGGGTTAAGAATCCGCCTGCCAGTGCAGGGGACACGGGTTTGAACCCTGGTCCGGGAAGATCCCACATGCCGTGGAGCAGCTAAGCCCGCATGCCACAACTACTGAAGCCCGCGCACCTAGAGCCCATGCTCCGCAGCAAGAGAAGCCACTGCAATGAGAAGCCTGCATACCGTAACGAAGAGTAGCCCCCAGTTGCTGCACAGCAACAAAGACCCAATGCAGCCAAAAATAAATTAATTAATTAATTTAAAAAAAATGTTGCTTCATTAGAGATTTTTTGGGGGGCTGATTTACCCTAATACCTACTAAAGCATCGTAAAAGACAAGTTATACAAAGCTAGGACTTAATAATTGTTAAACAAAATCAATAGGTACGATGACTTTTTTATAAAATGGAAATCTATTGCACGAACCCGTGTCCCCTGCATTGGCAGGCAGACTCTCAACCACTGCGCCACCAGGGAAGCCCAAAAGTGACTCTTTGATGAGTGGTTTTTAAGTGTAGATACATTATAGTAAAATCATAGTAAATGTCCTCTAATAATATTGGGGAATTCCGAGAATCTTAAGAAAAATTGTTTATAAGATTTTGCATAGGTTCCAGTCATGGTGTTTTTTACCATACTGAAATACTGTGTAAATACTGAAATTAAAATTATACAAATAAAGCATGAAAAATTTAAGCAATACAGAAGTTCTCCTTGTCCCCTCTACTCAATCCCAGTATCTTCAACTCAAGTTGTCTTTTCCTTTGTTTTCAGAGAAGTGGGTATCTTTCCAAACATGTATAGGGACAGAAAGAAATGTGTAGTTTTGTCTTATTCATTGCTTTCTTAATTAAATGGTATGCTGTATTTGCCTTTTTACCTTAAGATGTCTTAGAAATTTTTCCATGTATGTCTCTCTTTTTAATTGCTACGCAGTGTTTATTATGAATGTACTGTAATTTCTTGAAGTATTCCGCTTCCTAACGGATGGACTTTTTAAAACACTGATGCACATTTAGTTTGGTTCCAGTTTCTCCATATTACAGGTAATATCTGGGATTTACCATTAGATTGGGGGCCAGGCATTGTTTTTGCTTTTTCTTTTCAAATCTCTGCAGATGGTTCCAGTGTTGAAACTATACTTCCACATTATCTTGTAAGGAGTCTTAGTTCTAGAATTCTATGATTATATTTAGAGTATATGGTTAAATACAAAACTTTCTTGGTGCTAGTGTTTTTGGAGAGGCTCTGGGGCATTTTTTTTTTTTTTTGGGCTGCACCCCACGGCTTGCAGGATCTTAGTTCCCCAACCAGGGATCCAGGGATTGAAGGGATTGAACCCGGACCCCAGCAGTGAAAGCACCGAGTCCTAACCACAGAACCACCAGGGAATTCCCAAGGGCATTGCTTTTTTTATTTTATTTTTTTTTAAGGGCATTGCTTTTTAAAGGGTGATTCAGGGACCTCTGAATCATTGCTAATGGGTGCTTGTGAAAAATGCAGGTTTGGGGCTTTATCCTAGATCTGTGTAATTAGAATGGGGTTTGCCTGAGGATCTGTCCAGGAGATTCTTGTATTCAATGATGTTTGAAAATTTTCTAGGGCTTTAAAAAAATTCAGTTTGCCCCAGCCCCATTCATAGATGTTCTGTTTCACTGGATCTATGGAAGGGTCCAGCAGCTGTTATTTTAAGAAGCCAGCAGGAGGTTTCTGATGCACAGCCAGGACTAAGAACTGTTCTAGAACAGGGGTTTCAGAGTGAGGTCCCTGGACCAGCAACATCAGCATCACCTGGAACTTGTTAGAAAGATAAATTCTTAGCCCCCACTCGGACCTACTGCATTAGAGACTCTGGGGGTCGGGCCCAGCAGTCTGTTTTAATAAGGCCATGAGATGATTTTGATGCATGTGAAAGTTTGAGAAACACTATTCTAGAAAATAGTTTGGCTTGGAATTAAATCCTAAATTCCATATAAATCTGATCTCCTATTATAGGAGGTTTTAAACTGTGGATTCTTTTAAATACATTGTTTATATTTATCCTAAACCAGGAAGTGACTTTTTTTCTAGGACTGATGATGAAGAACAAACACGGCTCAGTCTGAATTGTACTCAGCAAGCTTTGATGCAGGTGGTGGCTTTTCTTTCCCAGAACAGACAATATTATCAGAAGACTGAAATTCTGTCACTGGAGAAGGTAATAAAAAATATGTCACTGTGCATTTTTGTTTGACAAATTCATATGTAAATTATTAGATACAAAGTGGTGATTGAGGGCATGTCATGCCCTGGAAAGTATATTTAAAATGGGAGACGTTTCAGGAAGAAGAAAATGCTGGAACTTGTCTTAGTCCGTTCGGGCTACTATAACATGTTTGGAGTGCTATAACGGAGTGCCACAGACTGGTTAGCTTATAAACAACATAAAGTTATTTCTCACAGTTTTGGAGGCTGGAAAGTCCAAGATCATGGCACTGGTAGATTCAGAGTGGTGTCTGGTGGGAGTTCACCTTGTGGTTCAAAGACGGTGCCTTCCCTCTGTGTCCTCACATGGTGGAGGGGACTAAGGATCTCTCTGGAGCCTCTTTTCTAAAGCACTAATCCCATTCGTGTGGGTTCCAGCCTCATGACTTAAGTACCTCCCAAAGGCTACACCTCCTAATCTGTAGGTTAGGATTTCAACCTATGAATTTGAGGGGGACGGAAACATTTAGACCATAGTGGTACTTCTTCAGGATTAGAGACTCAGTTACAGGTTCAGTCTCTTATCTTATACCCTATGCCTGGACCGTTTTTATTCATTCTTTTAACTTGACAGCCATTTGTATGATGATTCCTATGTCTTTACTTCCTGTCTCAGAATGCTTTCTTAAGGTAAAAGATAATAAATTTTAAAAGAACCTATATTTCCAGCCACTTTCTGAACATTTTCCACTTATGGCTCTTACAAGTATTTAAAATCCAATATATACAAGTATTGACCTTATCCCCATACCACGCCTTTAAATACCACTTTTTTCTGTTTTATTGGTGGCATCATTATCTTATTTGCGGTTTGCACAACTCTCCCTTGCCCCTGTAAATCCAAGCCCTGCTGATTCTGTCCCTAAACGTTTCTCTTCTCCATTTGCTTCGCCACCACAGTAGTTGAAACTCTCATCTTCTCTCACTTGGGATATGAGTGGTTTCCTGAGTGGGCGCCTACAGGAGACAATCCAGGCTTTTTAGCTTAGAGTGTGAAGCCCTTCATGACTGGCAAGGACCCCTGTCTCTGCGTCTTCTCCATCCGCATCCCTTGCTCTGTATACCAGCTACACTGTCTGCTTTTCCTTCTGCCCTGTGCGGTCTCTCCCACCTTGGCACCTTTGTACGTGATCTCTCTCTTTAGAATGCCTCTCCACATCTCACCCTGTCCCTAACCCACCACACTGCACTTGACATCACTCCTTTTTTAACTCCTTTCTGTCTTCGAGACCCAAGTCGTTGTAGAACCTTGTTTGACTCCACTTAGTCCAAGTACCCGCCTCCCCTAGTCTCAAATCATTTATTTTGTCATTCCTTTGTGCTCCTGTAAAAAAACAATACCTACTTTGTATTTAAAAACACTTTTATTTTCATTGTTTAAACATCTGCCTTCCCAGGAGACTGAGCTCCTAGAAGTCAGAGAATGTTTTTGTCAGGTTTGCATCCCCAAATTTTAGCCTGGAGCTGGTTTTATAGCAAGCTGATAATATGCTTGTTTTTTTTTGTGGTACGCGGGCCTCTCACTGCCGCGGTCTCTCCCGTTTCGGAGCACAGGCTCCAGATGCGCAGGCTCAGCGGCCATGGCTCACGGGCCCAGCCGCTCTGCGGCACGTGGGATCCTCCCAGACCAGGGCATGAACCCCGTGTCCCCTGCATTGGCAGGCGGACTCTCAACCACTGCGCCACCAGGGAAACCCAATATGCTTGTTTTATTGATCTCGGCATTTGCTGTTTGTTCTTTGGATTTGTTTTCTAGGACTGATGATGTACAGTTTTTTTAATTTCTGTTTCTCTTCAGCCTCTGCTTCTACATACTGGGATGGGACGGTTATGCACCCTGGATGAGTCTGTCTCCTTGGCAACCATGATTGAGCAAATCAAAAGGCACCTAAAACTGTCTCATGTTCGCCTTGCTCTTGGAGTAGGGAAGACCTTAGGTAAATATGTCTCCTTTATTTGTCCAGTATACTTACTGATACTGTTGGGCAAAAATTGAAACTCTTAGTTGTGTCAGTATAGATGATAGAAACGTGTTAAGAAACGTGTTAGCAGCTCACAGGAGATGACTGCTTTACTTTATCGATCAGGGTGGTTGAGGTTATACTGTGATATACATCTCATTGGCCTAAACAAGATTTATTTCTCAGGCACACTCCACATTCATCTCAAATCGGTGGGGGAAGTTTGCTCATTGTAGACTGGTTACTGTTGCAGAGAGAGGGTCTCAAACCATCAGTTAAACATTCTAGTCTGGAAATACATATTCTGTTCAACTCATTGTCCAGAGTTATTCAACCCAGGGAGAGCATGAAGTGCAATCCTACCAATATCCAGGAAGAAAGCTGGAAATTGTGATTGCTCCAGTGACAATGCAAATCTTAAATTTTACAATACTGGCAATATTTTATAGTGAGGTAGTGCTCAGTGATGTGATCCAGTGCAGTTTCTGAGTTTTGTAGCCACTGCCTTTTCTCTTGGCTTTCCCCAGTATTTGGGGTAACAAAAGGAATGGACAGAACATTTGTTGGACCCCTGCAGTGAGCCTAGCACTGTACCTAGTGTCCTGAGTGTGTGAGTTCCCACTGTGAAGGCAGCGAGTAGAGCGCAGGTGTTATGAGTGTGGAATCTGAACGCCTTGGGTTCACATTTGTCCTGTCTGCTGCATGACTTTGACAGGCTATTTAACCCCCTGTGTCCTGGTAGCCTCGTCTTTAAAAACTGCAGAAATAATAAAACCTAACTCATTGAGGTGGTGGTATAATTCATGTGACTGGCACACATTAAGTGCAGTAAATGCTAGCCGTTGTTAGCTGTCTGGGAGGTGTTATTATTCCCATTGTATAGGTGAAAAAAATTGAGGTTTGGAGAGAAACTTATCCAAAGTCCACAGCTGGATCAAACAACTCATGAGTGTTTGTTTCCAAAAAGGGTTGGTGGCAGAGATGGGATTGGACTTCTGACCAGCTCCAGTGCCACTCTTGAAATACCACTAATGAAGTGTCCATTCTAGAAACCTAAATGCTAAACACTTATTGGATTTTGGCTTGAAAGATTCTGTATTTCACTCTTCAGAGGATGCTCTTTCAGGATCAATACGATATTAAAAAAAATGTGTGTCAAATCCATTCATAGCATCCTCTAACTAGCCCTTTTAGTTCCTTAGCTTCCTTACCTGGGAACAGAGAGTTACCTGCTTACCTCTTACTGTTACCTGGAGACCCGGGTGAGGTTGCTTTACTGAGCAGCATTGCAGTAAAGCCCAAAGCCTAGTGCTAATAGTGGTTGATACTATTCAGGGGTGCCTTATGTGGGCTTCTGCAGCAACATATGTCTGAAGGAATAATAACGTTGCCTTGGGTTAGCTCTGCAATGCCAAGGAATAGTCTGTTTGCCTATGTGAAGATGTATTTTATTATTTTTTAAAACTCGGTAAGCAAAATTCACATACTGGTGATGAGACTAGGAGTGAAATCTGCATTACATTTAGGATTCTCAGTACAAATTATAATATTAAAATGAAGGGGAATGATAAAGTAGTGGCCTCTTGTTTCCTTTATCTGGAAGAGTCCCCAGTCAAAGTCGTGGCCGTGTGTGCTGGTTCTGGGAGCAGCGTCCTTCAGGGAACAGAGGCCGACCTCTACCTCACAGGTAGGACAGCCTTTGGATCTTTTTTCTCCCCTTTTCTTGTGCATCCCTTCCCTACCTTGGTTTATTTTTTTCAAGTTAAAAAATAGCATAGGGCTTCCCTGGTGGCGCAGTGGTTGAGAATCTGCCTGCCGATGCAGGGGACACGGGTTCATGTCCCAGTCCGGGAAGATCCCACATACCGCAGAGCGGCTGGGCCCGTGAGCCATGGCCGCTGGGCCTGCGCGTCTGGAGCCTGTGCTCCGCGACGGGAGAGGCCACAGCAGTGAGAGGCCCACGTACCGCAAAAAAAAAAAAAAAAAAAAAAAGCATATTTTAGGACATCATCTGACATATAGATGGATCTGTTATTTGAACCTGAAATAAATAGGGACTATGCCAAAATTGGGAACATACCATACTCTTTGTGGAGGGGGAAAAAAATCATTAAACAATTAGATTATCTAAAAAACTTATGTTCAGCACTTACTTAACCTAACTTCTTCCTAAACATAATTTCTCTCAGATTTCATATGTAAGTTAATGGGACACTTTTTACCTTGTCGTCTTAGGTAGGAAATGGTTCCTCTTACTCAGCCCTAAAGACAATCATCGGTTTCTATCAGTTATAACTCCAAAATCTTTCTAGAACTTTTTGCTGTATCTGCATCCAGGCATCCTCTACCTGAAGTACTTCTCAAGCTTCTAATCTTAATCTTCCACACATTCGCACAAAACTAACTTTCAAAAGTACAGATACTTTTGGATAATATTATCCAGGCTAAAAACCCTTCAGTGATCTCCTTCAGCTGTCCTAGTGAAGCCTAAATGTTTCATCCTCTTTCATGCACCCTTTGCTCATGCTCTTTTCCCTGGCTAAAATGTCTTCTCTTTGCTCCTCTGGACGCGCAGGCTCAGCGGCCATGGCTCACGGGCCCAGCCGCTCCGCGGCATGTTGGATCCTCTCGGACCGGGGCACGAACCCGTGTCCCCTGCATCGGCAGGTGGACTCTCAACCACTGCGCCACCGGGAAAGCCCTGCCCCTTTCTTCTAGTGGTAAAAGCTCAGAGACACCTCCCCTGAGAAGCTTTTTCTTGACAGTGTCCAGCTCCTGCCCCTGGTGGTCATGACTTCCTCTCCCGATTCCTGTCACTTTGTTCTTAACCTACAGTATGCATTTCTTATTGGACATTAATTGTTTGGCTCCCAGGCTTTATACTCTGTCCTTGTGGGTAATAACCTAACTGGTAACTTGGCCCATCATTCCTCCAAGGAGTTGGAGGCACTTTGTACACTGTTGCTACCAGCGGTATTTCCACCTCTGCGCCTCCTGAGGGTTAGGAGACTGGGGGTTAAAGATTACTTTTCCCACTTCTAGGACTAGACTCAAGGGTCTTAAGCCCCTGGCCGTTCCTTTGGCTACCTCTGGGGCCCTCCATTACTAAGGCCTCTCCTGCCACCCACACCCACTGCCTTATTGTCTAGCACACCCCCTTACAGAGGCTGCTGCACTTGAAACATTGTCACATCCCTAAGTATAGAGGTGCAGCATCTGAGCAAGCATGATGTATTTTTTGAATCAACTAAAAATGTATGTGACCATTACCTGTTTTCTATCCTTCAAAAGAGGTAAGATTTTTATAAGCCCTCAAATTTATACCAGATTGAAATAAACTTTCAGTGTATAGGCAATTTGATATCTTACAACATGGTGTTTCTATTTTAAAATTTTGACATTTTACTTTGAAGGAATTTCAGACCTATAGAAAAGTTGCAAGAATAGTACAATGAACTCCTGTATACCCTTCACATAGATTACTAATGGTTATATTTTGCCACATTTGTACATTTTCTCTCTCTCTGTGTAACATATCATACAATATATGTGTATATATTTGTATATGCATACCTATATTTATATATTTACATGTTTCCTCCCAAACCATTTTGTAATAAATTGCAGATATGGTGACCTTTTACCCCTAAATACCTCAGCATTGTGTCTCCTAAGAACAAGGACGTTCTCTTATATATGACCATGTTGTGATGATTTCAGGTTGATATCCAATCCATGATCACACACTACCTCTGGAATAGTTCTAAACTTTGTCTTCAGAGCATTGACATTTTTGAAGTGTGTAGGCCATTTGCTTTGTTGTATATCTCTCAGTTTGGAGTGTCTGTTTCTTCATAAATAATGACTTTTTTTTAGTTAGTTTTTTTATTATAAAGCAATATGTACATAAGATAAATTCACACAGTTCCAAAATGTTAAAATGTCCTTCCTATCTGGTTAGTTGGGGAAACAGAAAATATCTTCTTATCTGGCTAACTTGAGATGTCTACGGTCTGTGAGGCATCACTTTGAATATAACTTCAGGGATGGGAAGCCCCAGCCAATAGACCAGTTTCATCACCCTTCCTTTGAGCTTGATGTGTTAGGTCATAAAGGGTAATATCCTAGAAAGACCAGCAGATGGCGAGATTGCTCCTTGCAAATATAAGTTGTCTTTGATTTGCATTTTCTTTCCCATAGCTGCCATCCTGAGCCAGCCTTTCTTTCCTTTGTCTTCTGGTGTTACTGCAGGGTCTTTATGGATTTTCCCACTTCCATGCCTTCTCCAGCCAGTGCATTTATAATAGTCCAGGCAGCCAGGTTGTCTTTCCTAAAGCATGACTTCTAACTGAGCCACCCTAGTGTCTTTTTCTCCTTTTACTTTTTCTCTACTGTTACTTGGATTAAGATGTTTAAAAAGGTGCCTGAATAAAAACTATTCCTTATAATGAAATGATGCATATTTGGGTAGGGGGCAGTGTGGGGAATTGAAGATTTGGGCAGGGGGGCTTTTTTTTCTAAGAACCATTTTTTCTAATGCCTTTATGTCTCTTAAGTATATTTCAAAATTATGCTTTTTATGAACAAGCCAAATTGTGCGTAATATATTTTTGCTTTTAAGTTGGAAGTCATCAGATTCATACATGGTGTTTTTTAAAATTCAAAACATTTGAGTTTTCCCAAAATCTTTTCGCAAAAGATGAGATCCTCTTCCACCAGTAACTTCTAGGCGTTTTGCCTAAGTCAAAGGAAAATACCTTGCTTTTAATTTAGAAATAACCTTAAGTTCATTTCATCCTTATGAATTAGACTATGGTTGAAAATCTTGAACCAAAATTCAACTGAAAATTTTGGTACTCAGAAAGTGTAAAGGAGTCTCTGGGAAGTAAGCCTAGGATTTTCTTTTTTTTTAAAGATTTATTTATTCATTTTATATTTTATTATTGCTGCATTGGGTCTTTGTTGCTGCACACGGGCTTTCTCTAGTTGCGTCGAGCGGGGGCTACTCTTCGTTGCAGTGTGTGGGCTTCACATCACTAAGCCTAGGATTTTCTTGAGGTATTTGTTATTTAATAGTTACATAAGAAAGAAACTTTTTGAAAGCCCCATTTTACTTAGCAATGGTCATTTATTTTACTGTGGAAACATTTTGAATGGGTGTTCTTACAGGTCTAGTTATAGCAGTATTAGATACTGTTGGATGTGTGAATTTGGTTACTTGCCTTGGATCTGCCAAGGAGAAAGAATTTGGAATTCTGTATCTCTTTTTAAGTTGGAGGACATGTAAGAAACATGCATATAACTTTCTAGATTTATATGTAAAGTTCTGGTGTATTATATTTGCTTCATACAGAATGCAAAGTTGGTATTTCTGCTGTTATGGTTCAGCATTCCTCAGACTCTGTGTCTAATATTTAAATATTTGTTCTTTCTTTTGTTGGCAGGTGAGATGTCCCATCATGATGTTCTAGATGCTGCTTCCCAAGGAATAAACGTGATCCTCTGTGAACATAGCAACACTGAACGAGGCTTTCTTTCTGATCTTCGAGATATGCTGGGTGCTTACTTGGAGAATAAGATTAATATTATCGTGTCAGAAATAGACAGGGACCCTCTTCATGTGGTATAATGCATGCAGGAACAACCAGATGACACAATCTACAAATCGAATGGCTCCCAACTCAAATGCATAACATGAATCAGTGGGGTATCCTTCTGAAAGAATGTCTTAGAAGGTACATTATCATTTCTGGTTTCTTGATCTGCTTCAACAGATGTTCTGTAGCTCAGAAGGTAAGAACAATAATATAATTACCATTAAAGAACAATTATTATAAAGAACAAATTAAAGAATATATTGTATAATATGTATCCATTATAACCTCTAGGAAAGATGGAGTAAACCTGTTTACTTAACATTCTTGGGAAATATCAGTAGCTCAAGTAATCATCTCCTTAGCTTAATTATAGATGGGATGTGTCATTCTATATCTCTCCTTAGTTATTTTAAAAATATACTTTAAAATATATGTATTTTATATTTTTATATATATACATATATATTTTACATATATATATAAAATAAAATATATAACATATATATGTAAAAATATATATATTATATATAAAATATATAATTAAATAATAAAGTAAAAATAATAAAAAATATATATATATACATATACATATAAACTTTAAAACTTGGGATTAGAACACCTATATATAGGTAGTAGCCTCTGGAGGGTGATATGGTCTATCTATATGTTTCTGTTCCTAGATCACTAATCTCCCACCTAAATTTCAGAATCAGTATGAGATTTATCAGGATGAGTTTTTTGGGCTTTTTTTGGTTTTTTTTGGCCATGCTGTGCCGCATGCAGGATCTTAGTTCCCCGACCAGGGATCAAACCAGTGACCCCTGCAGTGGAAGCATGGAGTCTTAACCACTGGACGGCCAGGGAAGTCCCTCAGCATGAGTTTTGCTTTTTGTTTTAAATATACATGATCATTATTCATGTAATTATTGCTTTATTGCTTTTTAGGTAACTCACCTGTAATTTTATTAGTAATGTATTCAATATAAAGATGGTTAATTTTCAAAATAATGTTAGTGAGTACTTATACAGTATTAATTTTGTGCCAGGCACTCTTCTAGGTGCTTTATAAACACTTTCAATCCTTTATAAACAAGCATATAAGTATTGTTACTCCCATTTTACAGATGAGGAAACTGAAACAGAAGTTAAGTAGTTTGCCCAAGGCCACGTAGCTAGGAAGTGATGGAGTTAGTTAGGACACAAACTCAGGCAGTCTGGCTCCAGAGCCTGTGTGCTTAACTACAGTGTATCTTAATGAAATACATTGATGACAGAACTGATATAAGAGGTATGGAAGAAATCCTGAAGGGAAAAAGAAATCCATTTTAACTGTGATTTTCTCTGGGGATATGATGAGAGGTTTTGTTTTTTTTTAATTTAATATATATATATTTTTTGGCTGTGTTGGGTCTTCATTACTGCACGTGGGCTTTCTCTAGTTGCGGCGAGCAGGGGCTACTCTTCGTAGCGGTGTGCAGTCTTCTCGCTTCGGTGGCCTCTTTAGTTGCGGAGCACGGGCTCTAGGCACGCAGGCTTCAGTAGTTGTGGCACACGAGCTTAGTTGCTCCGCAGCATGTGGGATCTTCCCGGACCAGGGATCAAACCCATGTCCCCTTCATTGGCAGGCGGATTCTTAACCACTGCGCCACCAGGGAAGTCCCCATTTTTTCTTTTTAATGCTTTTATATGTATTTCCAATTTCTCCACTGAGCATGTTACTATGGTAATGGCAAAAGCAAATCTTTTAAAATACTATTTGACTAAGATGAGAAGCATAGAATTTTATATTTCCTTTGTAGGATCCTTTTCCTACCAATCTTTTTCCTCCTGGAGGCTTTGGGATCCTAACTTGTAAATTATTCTTGGTGGTTCATCTGTAATACTGATTCACTACAGAAATAACCAGTAGGAGTGAGCCTTATGAACTGCCCCCCAGTTAGAGTTGGAGGAGCCACCAAGAAAGGTGGGAGAACAGCTAAGTGTCAGAAGCCAAGAAGTAGAAAGCTTCAATGAGATGGTCAGCTTTGTCAAAGTAGAGAGAATGAGATGATAGCAGCTTTGAGAGACTGTCTTAATGGTATTTGCTTCATTCATTCAGTGTTCACTTTCTGTGTGCTGGGCCCATAGAGATGTGGGGAGGATAGGACAGAAATTTGGATGACGGTTACAATAAACTCTTAAGTAACTATGATAAAGGTATGCATAGGGTTTATAGGGAAGGTCTTCTGGGGAAAGGGGGTAGAATTCAGTCAAGAGGGACAGCTTCAACAAGTGCACTAAGTAGAGAAACAGCACAGCACATTGGAAAACCCAAGTAATTAATTCATGTAGACCCAAGTAATTATTGTCATGGTGGAAAGCACAAGGCAGGGAAGGTATGGTCAGAGGTGATGACAAAGAAACTGAAGCCAGTAGCTCTCAAACCCTCCTTTTTTTCTTTATAGCACACTCAAGGTGTGATGTGATTTCATCTGTAACTGACTGATGACGGCAGTAAGGATCTCAGTAAAGTAATTTTATGTTAAATCCAGTTTCTTTACTGGCATGCTAGCATTTCTAAATAATTAAAAATACTCCCAAACACATCCTATGCAGGATTTATTTTTATTTTTTTCTTCCTGTGCAGTTTTTAAAAAATAAAGTACCACTCAAGATTATTTACTTTCAGCTGTCAAATTTTCTGAACTGTTAACTTTAACATGTTGACCGCTTAGTTGTATATATCATTGCTTTTCAAACTTTTAATGTGTACCAGAACATCTGGAGATTTAGTTAAAATGCAGATTGATTCAGATGCCTGAGTAAGGGCCCAAGCATTTCTTAAGTTCCCAGGAGATGCTGATGCTGCCATTTTGAGGACCACACTTTGGGTAGCAAAAGTAAAGATGCTGAAGTATTTAGGTGACCTAAATACTTAAGACTTGAGGCCCAAGTGATATATGCCAAAATAATGAAAATTTGGTAATGAGCTTTGTTATACTCATGCTTGAAGTTATATTTTCCATAGCGTTAGTTATTTCAAATTTACTTTATTCAACACATTAAGGATACTGTAATTTTTAATGCTGTTAAAACCTCAACTAGATATTTCACAGCACATTTTCATATTCTCTCAACTGCCTAGCACAGAGCCTTCTACTTGGTAAGTTCTCAGCAAACATGAATTAACATGGCTTAACAGCTGTTTGAAAAAGTATGGGAGACTCTCCCAAGGGAGAGAAATCAAATAATTACAAAAAGCCTGAGAAAGTCATTTACATGACAGTTTATCCCTTGGCTTTTAGGAGACACAGTCTGTGATGAGGCAGACTCTCATGACTCACTGTTATATCTGAGAGCCACTCAGGACTAATCTGGAAGAGTCACCTCACCTCCTAGAATGTAGGAAAATATATTGTGAACTTGCTACTGGCTCCAGGTTTGAATTGGTTGAGGGGAAAAATACAGTTGACCCTTAAACAATGTGGGGTTTAGGAGTGCTGACCTTCTGCACAGTAAAATATCCAAGTGTAACTTATAGCTGGCTCTCCCTGTGTATGCTCAGTTTCTCTTTATATATCCGTGGGTTCAACCAACCGTGGATTGTGTAGTACTGTAGTATTTACTATTGGAAAAAATCTGCATTTAAGTGGACCCACACAATTCGAACCTGTGTTGTTCAAGGGTCAACTGTAGATTTCTAAAGTTCTGTTAGTAATTTTTTTTAAGTAAAACCTATGCACCATCCCTTGAACTTACTGATCTTCTGTATGAATGACATGTTCATATATTAAAATGGCAAACATGATGCTAAGAAAGTTAAGTTTCTGGAGTATCACAAGAACCGGTTTAGAACCCCCTGCCTAAGGAATTCAGTATTATGCCAAGTTTGTAGAGTGTAACTGTCTGTCCTGCATCCCCTGTGCCTTTTTTGGCTTATTTTAGCCATTTTATTAAGAGAAGCCAGAAAAATCTTTCAAGGTTTCAGGTCTGTTCAATCTTGCGAGAAGCGAGTAACAGCAGAAGTTTGGAGCCTTAGCAATCAAACTGATAGAGCTGAAGCAACACTGACGTTGAAACAAGGTAACGAAGAACATATAATTCTGCCAAGATCACCATCAGAACTGTGAGATGCACTCATAAAACTTTTGAAGCACTTCAAGATATCTTTAGTAAAAAAACCCAGTACTATAAATGAAAAAAAAAATGGTTATATCCAAATTGGTTTCTTTATTAATAGTAAAGACTATTCACACATCCTGCTTGCAAACAAACAGTATAGACACAAAAATTATAAAAATAAACCAGTAGATATTTAAGGGCAAATGCAAAGTTTGCACATTAGGTCATTAAAGATTTCATATACTTTTTTATACTGTAAGTTATAATAAACTAAATATATTAAGCAAAAAACAAAAACAAGGTGCAAACCAGCAAGCATCATATGCCACCATTTGTGTTTTTAAAATGAGAAATACAGACAAATACCCTTAGATGTGCATAGAATACCTTGGGAAGAATGCTTAAACTGTTGTCAATGGCTGCCTAAGGGACTGGATCAGGGGATGGTAAGGAAAATCACTTTTCATTGAATATCCTTTGGTATAATTAAACAATTTTAGAATCCTATTCATGTATAAATTTAAATATTTTGATTAGTAATTATGCTTAAGACTAAACCCCTTAATGCATGGATTTAAAATAAAATTACTTCATTATATGACACAAAGAAATGGTTTTAAAAATTCTGATCATTTTGGGAAATATTTTCATAAAAGGGGTTTACAAGATGAGAAATGAGTGAGAAATGCTGATGCAGTATATTACAGTGATATTTTAATGAAGAATTTCATTTCCAAGTATGAAATAGTTCAGGGAGTATGTGAAGACTATGAGCTGACTCCAGTGGCCGAGATTAGCCTTCTTGTCTTTCCTAAGAGAAAAAAAGGCTTGAGTATTTAGGAGGTTTGAAATTGTCATTTTAAGGAAAAAACTGAAATGTCTTACAGTGAATTTTAGGCCTACTTGATAAAGAAATCAAATTCATTTAAAG